AATAAATATATTGATCTGTATAACGTATATAATAATTAGCTTAAGAATTAAATAATCTCAAATTTTTAAAAATTCTTTGTTTTTTTATTCCATTGCTTATTTTCCTTTTTATATTAAAAAAATTAATACATTCGGGTGGTATCTGTATTCATAGCTATGTCGCGTATACATTTTTACTATGCACTAACTACGGAGCTTGTACTAAGAGGCCCTGTCGACTTCTCACTACGTTAAAAAAATTAAGACGAATAACGCGACAGAGTCATGGTAGTTCTTAAATTTTATGAAAGGCGGAGATGAGAGAGGGAGGAGAAGCGAATGCTTCTCATTCTCATTTGTCTTCCTTTTTTTTGCGGCGATGTTTATTGTCTAGTCGAAAAAATTGCAGAGTAGTTCAACGTGCCGTTAATGAGGGAGGGAAAAGAGGATGGAGTCGCGACGGAAAGAGAGTAAAATACCGAGTCGCTTTCTAATGAAAACCGTGAGAAATTGACCGAACTTCGGGGACTCGTCGCTATTTATCTGACCACTTTGAGATTTCATCTCTGCGATCAGCAGAAATTTTTTCGTCCAAAGTTATCGCGCGGATTTGATTCCGAAGCAGGATGAATTCTTATTTGCTAGCGTTTTACGACTTCCTTCCACTTTAGCCGAACGTCTTACACTTTTCTTTCAATTCTTGCGCAATGATAAATCAAATTATAAGATGTATTAGATTGGTGTAGAAAATTTGTCATCTTTTGACACAGCAAATTTTATATTATGTTCTTGAGTCTTATTAAGCTTGATATACATATATACATATATACATATGTGTGTGTGAGTGTGCGTGTACGTGTACATTTGCGTGTACGTTTGCGTGTGCGTGTGCGTTTGCGTTTGCGTTTGCGTGTGCGTTGCGTGTGCGTGTGCGTTTGCATGTGCGTGTGCGTTCGCATGTGCGTGTGCGTGCGTGCGTGCGCGCGCACGCGTTTGTGTGTATATATTTGTTTTTTCTTTAAATAATGGAATTGTACAACTTTTTTTTCTAAATTAATTTTTTCTACACTGTAAAAAATGTTCTAAAAATTCTGACATATTTTTGTCTGAATTTTTAGATCTGGGTGTCTGAAAGAAATTTCAGACAATTTGTTTTAATCATTAGAATCGTTTTTCTGAAAGTTCAGAAGAGTCTGAAAATTGAAATGTGTGTCTCAAAATTCAGACAGCATTCAGTCTGGAAATTTAAACAGTGTGTCTGTACAAAAGCTGCAGATTTTGTCTGAAGCTTTAGTCTATATTTTTTAACAAATCTTTTAAAAATCGTTAAAATTAAAATTTCAAAAATTATATCTTGTTTAAGTACAAAAATATGCAATCCTTTACATATTATAAAAAATCACTTAATAATAATTCTGCATGAAATAATATAATCGCGTTGAACGTTTTAATTCCTAAAAACATTTTCTCGCACTAGCTATTTAACATCTATGACATTATAATAAAGCAACCGAGATGAGGGCAGATTTGAATGTGCGGTTAAATAGGGTTTTGCACTCTCGGCGAAAGGGCCCCGAAATTTTCGTGCGGCAAAACGACGATGAAACTGCGACGTTCCAACGATATTTCAGCATTAAAGGTCGACCTGGTCCGCATGTTAAAATCCCTGGCTGCTCACCGGCCAAATATACGCGCCAGCATTATATGCATGGACCCATCATTTTTGCGTGGGTGTACGTTTAAGTATTTGTGCAATGGTACATGTGCATGTTGCAGTAACACATACACGTGTTTTGCTATTAATTCGCGTTATTTTAAGATGGTTAGGACTTTTTCATCAGTTTAGAAACAATTTTTTCTACGAATAAAAATATTGAAATATCTGTAATTGTTTTTTGAAATTATATTTTAATTGAAAATTGAAGAAAAAGATAAACAGATAAATTAAACTTTAAATGGAAAAATTAGATATTAATGTAATATTCTTGGGTTAATCTTAAATAAATTTTAACAGTATTTTAATTTAGGATTTAGAGAGTATAAGAATACATATAATGTTGGAAAATTGTGGAAATTGCAGTGAATAATTAATTGCAAAGTAATAATTGATTGAAAATTGATTGAAGAAATAATAAAAGGGATATGACCCCATATATATACGCAAATACATATATTGCCTCGAACTTCATATCAGTTTCTCATATCGTAAATGCAGAGCCGGAGAACAATGGTAAGAGGTATATCAAAGTTCTAATTAATAACAGTAGACATTAGAAACGAGATCCCTCCGTGGAACGTGATAATGCGATAAGTTGCGCGTGTAAGACATCCATTAATTAGCAGATGTTTCTTCATTCATGTCTGACAAACATATTTGTTCATTAAAAATAAAAAAAAAAAATTTTGATTTTAAAAACATTAAGAAAACTAGAGAAAAACTGTAGAAAAAATTCAAAAAAGAGAAGTTCAAAATTTTTATTTTTTAAAAATTGTTTAAGGGTAAAAGTGCATAATAACGGACTCAGTCCCAATGACCTTGGTCTTAACATATGTTGTCAAGGTCATTGTCTTGGGTATCCCCCAAAAAGTTTTAAGCGTTGCTCGTTGTTTATTCAAAAGTTATTAACAAAAAAAGTTTACTGAATAAAAAGTAATTTGATTAATGTTTACCTTTACACACTCCATCCCAAATGACTTCTGGTTGACCTTGATGTTGATCTTGACTTCTAAGGAGGTCAAGGTCATTGACCTTTCCCGTCGCTCGATTAGTAAAGAAAAGTTCTGATTACTTAAACAAGGTTTATAGTTATACGATTTTACATGAATTTGCAACTTTCTGCGCGAAGCAAGGTCTAGTTTTAAATCAGAAATAGGTTTGGGTTAGGTTATATCTTCCGGAAGTGAAGCCCCCCGAAGGGGGGGGGGGACGTCGGAACCCACTGTGTCCATGCATATACTTTACAACACGAAGCGAGGTCCACTCCACAATTGTTGTGTGGATAGGAAAGTGTATGCGTGGACGCAGTGGATTCCGCCCCCCCCCCCTACGTGGGGGCTCCACTTCCGAAAGATATAATCTAACCCAAACCTATTTCTGATTTAAAACTAAAATTTGGATTGGGTTAGATTATATCTTTCGGAAGTGGAGCCCCCACGTAGGGGGGGGGGGGGGAGGCGGAACCCACTGCGCCCACGCATGCACTTTGCAAGACGAAGAATTTGAACGATTAAACCAGATTGATCAAAATACGCACGTCATCATTTTTGCATTTAATACTTGTTCTTATTGTATAATTTAATTGTTAATAGCTTTTTAATAAATAACGAGCGACGGCTAAAACCTTTTGGAGGTTACGCAGGGTCATGATCTTGACAATATATGTCAAGGTCAAGGTCATTGGAGCTGGGTCCGTTATTATGCACTTTTACCAATATAACAAGAGGAAACGAACCTGCGGGATCATGAGCCCTGTGCCTGTACGGAATATACATATATCCCATAACCACTCGTATGTTTCGTCGAGATAAAAGGGATATGTTTCCGCGGTGGATAGTCCTGTACGAAGTTTAATATTGCCTTATGCGTATTCATATCATGTGCGGGATGGTCCTTTTAGGTGGAAATGAGCTTATATCGCGGATGTAAACAGGATATAGGAACTTCGATGGAAAATTGCAGCTCGACAGATTGGAAAGCAGTGTAAACGAAGATAATCCTCGTCGCGACTCAGATTTATTTGCTTGTCGATCGTTCAAGTGTCTTAATCGATACGGTCATTGATTAATTCTGAAATAATAAAAAAAATGTAAAATGTATCATATGCGCATAATGTAATGTATTAAATCATGAAAACATATGTCAATAATTTCAAATTTTTTTATTTTTGACGCTTTGTACAAAATTTCAACAATATTCAATTAAATAGTAATTTAATTGAATATTAAATTACCATTTAATTAAAATTACTATTTTAATATTTAATTACTAATAATTAAAATGACTATTTTATATTATATTAT